TCATGTTTATAGGTAAATACTTGGAAGAGTTCCCAGGATTTTTAAATAGGCATAGAACACCCAGTTACAGTTGTGCACTTTCTGTGACTACTTAGCACAGAATGAAGAGCTTTGCAAAGGATGGAAAGCCAAGATAGAGCAAAAATGTAGGGGTTTCCTTTATAGGAAAATCCTGTTGAATTGAGGAAGAATGAAATCAAAAGGGTTATAGAGAAACTAATGTAACAACCTGTAAAATACGATAGACCATATTTTGCCATTAATTATATAACTCAATTGCTAATCATGCTTATCCCACTCAACTCTGCATGTCAAGTGGTAACTGCTATTAACTGATGAAAGTTATCTTTACAAGTGGATTTTTCTTCCTCATTTCTGTTGTAGCCATAATGAGATCTGCACTGGGATATATGGACTTGAGGAGTCTAGATACAGAGACAGTGATGAACTTCAAGGCAAAATCCTTAGTTGTGCTTCCTTATCACCCTTTAGATATTGTTCCAGTTTTAGACATGAGTCTCATGAAAAGTCCCCCTCTCAAATCTAATTATTCTGATCATTTCATCTCCCACACAGGGCTTTTCTCAGAGATCTGTGACACTGCCTCCTTGTCATATTTGATAGATGACCTGAACATGTGAAACTGATTTAACTGTTAAATCTCAGTGCAAGTGTAGCTAAGGATAGTCACATACCCAAAGGAATAAAAATGTCACTGGGATGTGGTAAGAATGTTACATTTAAATGAGAAATCATTACAACAATTAAAGATTCCGATGTCAGTCTGGAAGATGCTGCTTTCTCTTAGAGCACAGTCGTTATGAAACTGGATACCCAGTTTGAAACTGAATTTGAATACCTATGGAATTTTTCCAGATACTGGATTATGAATAGAATTTTGTAAGATCCTTTACTTGTAGCAGGAAGCATAGTTTCCAAGTCATCCCTTTGTAGTTTGGGATTCCCAAAATCTTAATACTGAAGGAGATTTTTTGGATGCTTCTTTTTTAAAGTTAACTCTGTAATTTTTAGAGGACATACATACTTCTGCCTTCTCTGGATTCTTTGCTCTAGGAAAACAAACTAACAAATGGATGGTGTAACTTTCCTCTGAAATTAATTTTCTTTATTTTCTATAGAGATAGAAATAATGTAAAGGAATCACTTGAGTGTAGTGAGAACCAAATACCTGTTTCCTCAGTTGTACATAACAATCAAGCTGTAGTTACCATTTGCTGTACATCAGGTGCCCCTTGGTTGAAAAGTACTCTGTCCAAAAAATTCCATACTGCTTACTCTTTTTTGATATGACAGAAGTTTTGTGTTGTTGTTGTTGTGGGGGGATTTTGTTTGGTTTGATTTTTTTTTAAAGAAAAAAAAGAAAAAAACCACCTCACCCAAACAAAACCAAAACCAACACCCCACATTCATTACTTATATGAGCTACAGACCATTACAGGTCAGAAATTTCCTCTGAAACGCTCCCCTGGAGTGTTTGCCTATTGGGACCCCAAGGGCTCCATCAGCTTCTGAAATGCTGCTGCAGCTGCTGCATAGGCACTGGCTTCTCCGTTTTGAAATGCTCTTCCAATCCTAAACTCCAAAAATAGTCAGTGTCTTTTCACATAAATATCTGTGGGAGAAAGAGTGGAGAGAGGGTATGGTGGAGGATACCAGCTTTGGAGTGTGGCTGGGTTCAGCTCTGTACCCCACCACTCTGCCTGGGTCCTGATGCCTTATGAAACGCAGAAGACTAAATGAAAGGGAAATGAAATGAAATAGTGAAATTAAATGACATGAAATGAAGACTAAATGAAAGAAGAAATAAGAGTGACTAAAGGACTCTTTAATTATAGGAGAAAAAATGAGCCCAGGCAGTTAGTGTTGCTAATTTATTGACGTACAGTATTCAATGATTGGTCCTAAAACCACTTTGTCATACTTTTAAACCTATGGTTAATGTGTAAATAAGGGTTTGTGGAAGTCTGAAAATGTATTGTTTAGGTTGCACATATGAAAATCAGAAACAAAAGCACGCACTTTCTCATGTGAAACTTGAATGATTTTTAAAGACAGATAATAATAAATCAGTGGTTTTCCTAGAAGGAGGTCATCAGGTTCTTTTATTTTGTCAGCTGATACTTTTATAGGAAGAATTTTTCCTTTTGCTAAACTAAGAGTTGATTAATGTGATATTGTATGTGAGAATGTGCTTACCTTTCCTGCAGCTGAGAAAACAGTATGGGGAGAAGTGCAAAGTAGTGAAAAAGTGAAGAAACCTATTTTTCTACTATTTTTAGGAGATTGCATGTTTAAAGTGGAACATGACTCCCATTCAGGGGTGCTTAGAGGTGGAAGTCAGCCATATACCTATCGCTCTAGACCTTGTCATGCTTCCTCATTTGGGGAAGATATTTACTTGACCAAATAAATTTTTTCCACCAGATATTCTTCAAAGGACCAACCTCCCTTCTTCAGGTCTGTGCAGGAGGCAGTATAATCAGGAAAGGCTAAGAGAGAGATAGGATAGGGAGAATATGATAGGGAAAAGAAAATAGGAGTAAACAGTACAGCACCCCCATGTTTCAAGCTGTGATTTTGCTGGTTCAGTGCTAATGGCCAGTTACTCTCAGCATTGTTCTGGGTATCTGAAAATTAAGGTTCAGTGATAGAGAAAAAAATCTGTTCAGTGAAAATATGTTCAGTTTGCTGCAAAGTAGAATTTAGTCTACTTTTCAAAGCGCCATGTCCTTCTCTTTAAGAGCTCTAGAAAGAAGTGCTGATGGGTGTATTGGAATATTCCTACTTACTTTCATCTGCTACTTAGTCCCAAATCCTGCTCCAGTAGTAACCTCCATCCATACCTCGTTTAGAACCGTGGAGTGTACCTCAGTCTCTGAGTTCTACTAAATGTCTTTGATTGAAATGGATTAATCTTTCTGTCTTGTTTTTTGCTTGGAGAATTGTTGTTACTAGTGAATGAATATGAATGTATTTTAATCTAATTCCCATACTGGAATTCAGTGTCAGCATAGGTTTATAAGGCTCCAGTTAATACTAAAGAGTTCTCCAAAACTGGCAGCTGGATTCGGGCTGCTGGTACCTGAGTCATTCATACAGCTTATTTGCACAGTCCTTTCCTCTAAAACCCTCCAAAACAGGCCAAGGGTGGGCTGCAGAGCAGGTTATTTTCCTTTGAGGATCAGGTAGAGCCTGCTGCCTTTCAGTTGCATGCATCCATGTCAAGATTAGTTAAAACACATTTTTGGAAAGTGTGTGAGAATCTGGATATATGGCCAGGAATTCTAATAAAAGCTATGGGAAACTGGCAGCACTTGGGTAATTTTCTTGTATCCTCATTACAATTTTGGAGGTGCCCTGATAGAGTTACAGCAGAACCCACATTAAATTGACTCAATGATACAAACTCAATTCAGCTATCAGTCATTTCTTCCCCTATCATAATTCCGTCTTTGAACACAATTTCACGGGGGGGGAAATCAGATACTGCAAAATAGACATATATGCTATATTGGCCTCACCCACATAACATATCTGTATCTCTTTCTGAAAATGTTGCAGTGCATTGTAAAAAATAAAAATTGCTTTCTTGGCTTTTCCATCTCCCAGTTAATTTCTCATTGTAAGTAAACCTGGCAGTCTTGGTCTTCTCAAAACACAATTTACTTTCAGCGAGTAATCTTCATGGCAATCATGAGATTCCATTTTTTAAATTAAAAAGCAGGAGTTTGCCAGTATCTGTTGGCTGAGTTTCTGTAACTGAAATAGCTAAGAAAACATACAAGATATTCTAATTATTATCCTGACATTTTGTGTAATGCAACAATGAAAACTCTTCAGTTGTCATTCAGCTATTCCATTGATACAGACATGTGTGATGTAACGCAAACAGCTGTAAAAGAAAACAAGGTCTTCAAGGTTATCAAAACTGAAAAAGTTTTATTTATTATTTTAAAACAGATGAATTTATCATGAAATATAAAGGTTCTCTCTTCATTTTATAATCAGAAAAAAGGCACTGTTTAAATAATGTCAAGGTTGAGTGCCACAACAATTGAAGTTAGGACATATGAAATAATGTCAACACTCTCTTCTCACAGCGGTATTTAAAAAAGAGAAGGCTGAAGCACCTCGTGGAACAGGGAAAAGCAACAGTCAAAACATGGTAAACACATTGGAGTCATATTCCAAAACTGGAGCAATAAGTAAACAATTACAAAATCAATTGGATCTTTTAAAAAACGCTTTCCCTGAATTTCTTGGGGAAAAAATTCAGAGGGGTTGTAAGATTTGGATTAGTAGCTTTTAATGGGAAAGCTGATGACCCCATTAGCTTTGGGTGCTCTAAAAATAAGAAAGATAAGAAAAGCCTATGCTGAATACTTCATTGTGTATGGGATCATTTAAAAGTAGAGATAAAAAGAAGAGCCAACAAAGGGGAAGAGAAGCCATGGGAGATGAGGCAAATTCCAATTTAATATATTATAATACCTTTCACTAAAGGTAAAAAGGAAAGGCCTGTTGCTGCCCTGTGGTACACAATACTCTCCAATATGCATTTTGTAAATGTAGGTACTTCACTGGGGATTTCCTTTCTGCAGGATATGTGAAGATGCGCAGTTATAGGAGATCAGTCACGAACATTCATACTGGACCAAACCTTCTGAAATGCATGTATATTCAAGTATATCTAGTACAAGACATCATATCCTGACTCTTCATATGGCTAAAATACTATAAAATGAATTATTTAAATCTTCTGGTAGAGGCCTCGCTCCTGACAGTGACTTCTGACTTGTGTGGGTGGTAGATGTCTGTGTCCTGGTCCAGTCCTGGATGATATGCTATAATAAAGTTCTTGCAGAGGCCCAAATTAGGTTTTCAATCATGATTACCTGGTGTGATTATTCAGCCAGTGTGAGTTCACTTCAGTCACTGGTCAAAAGATCCATGTTCCTTTCAAAGTTCTCATGGCTGATCTACAGTTCGACTTTCTGACATGGACAGGACTTGGTTGGATATGACAGGCTGTGGTCAATGGGTTTGATCATCATCCATGCAAACTTGCACACGCGTTGCTTGTTGCAGTCCTTCTGCCAGTATATCACATTCCTACGGTTTAGATTGGCTCCAGCACATGCATCATACCACCAGCCTCCCCCAGGAACGCCCCTGTGTTCCAATTTAGCACAATTCTGAAAGAAATTGTCGTTGTCTCTGTCCTTGGTGGTGAACTTCTGGTTGTCATGGAGATAAGCTTCTGTGTCCAGGGTCAGAGCATCAGTGGCGTTGCCTTTGTATAGTCCAACCCTGATTCGGTATTGAGACTCTTCATCTTCAATCAGGAATGGTTCATACTGTCCCCATTTGATTTCAGCATTTAGGTTTACAAGTTTAACTCCAAGTATATATTGTGTGGAGCCACTAGTTAATTGATGCATATATTCATTTCCTAACCAGTGGTTGTCATGAACAGAGCCAAATCCGTATTTGTAATCCTGCCAGGTCCTATCAAAGTCAACAGTACTATTGGCTGTAATGTGCTGGATTACTGTCCAGCCACCATCCTGCATGTTACAAGAGACAACAATTGGGTCTTCCTTTGGTTGGATGATGTAAAGACCGTCTCTGGAATTTCCTTTGGAGCGCTGAAAAATCTCAAAACAATCCGCTGGATAGTCTGAGTAGAGGGGGGGGAAAAAAGTTTCAAAGTAAATTTCTCTTAAAATAATAAATTTTAGATATTGAGTTCTCTAATCCTTTAGAGTGAGTGAAGGACTGCCTTCTGACTGGCAGGTGACTCCCAGCTGGTGGGCATCTACTCAGCTAAAGGGGTAAGATTTGAGGGCAGAATATGCAGGAAATGCCCAGATATTCAGAAAAGGGTTTGTTACCCTGACATAAAACAGAAATGTGCATTATTTTGCATTTATGACAGAAGTAGGTTTGAAAAGCCAAAAGTTATTTACAGACCATTCATTTTCCTCCTGTGTTCTTCCGTTTTGAGTAGTCAGCAAGTTTGCAGTTCCCTGTGCCAAGTGTTGGACTGTTGTGTTACAATAATTACTAGAGTAAGCCTTCTGCTCAACAAATAAACCTAATTTCTCCTTAACCAGTTTATACTTCAGGTATCTGTAAGAACCTTGCATTAAATTCCAATAAGTATGCCGCATGTTCATTGCTAAAAGGGAGATACTAAAACCTATTTCGTGCTCATAGGAATCTTAGAAACATCTGAGGATTTTTTTAGGAACAGTTCTTTCCATTCACAAACTCCAGGCTACATCTGACCACTGATTTGCAGTAGAACCACAGTGCTGTGCAGTGCTTAACACCAGTACGTGAAAAATAGGTGAAAGTGCTTTTCCACTTTACTGCTTATTGGCTAAACTCAGAAGGTAATAAAAATGGCATATAAGGCTTGGGATGAACCTCTCTATTGGGCTGAAATACATACACTGTGTTTTTTAAATGTAACTTGCTTATAAGTAACTTCTTGCTATCGTAGAGTATCAAGCAGCCCTGAGACTAAGGCACAATGCTCTGCTTTTACAATTGACTATGAGATTTCTAAGAGCCAGGATATAAATTATTTAAATATACATTTATGTATGTATGAATTCTTATGTAATGAATTCCTTTTGTGGAGAGGGATGTTATTCAATGTCTGTTCTGTTACTCAGAAGCATGTTTATGAATTGAAATCACTCACTTCTCCATAGAGTTGAAAGGCATATAATTATGTCATTATGCTACAGAATAATAATAACTTGACAAGTTTAATATCTTTACAGGAAAAATTCATAGAATCACAGAATGGTTTAGGTTGGAAAGGGCCTTAAAGTTCATCTAATTCCACCCCCCCTGCCATGGGCAGGGACACCCTCCACTAGACCAGTTTGCTTAAAATCTCATCCAGCCTGGCCTTGAACACTTTGAGGGATGGGGCATCCACAGCTTCTCTGGGCAACCTGTTCCAGTGCCTCACCACACTCACAGTGAAGAATTTTTTCCTTATATCTGACCTAAATCTATCCACTTTCAGTTTAAAGCCACTATCCCTTGTCCTGTCACTACAAGGCCTTGTAAAGTCCAGCTTTTATGTAGGCTCCTTCTGGTACTAGAAGGCTGCAATAAGGTCTCCACGGAGCCTTCCCTTCTCCAGGCTGAACAAGCCCAACTCTCTCAGCCTTTCATCACAGGAGAGGTGCTCCAGCCATATTGTGCTCCAGGATCCTATTGGCTTTCTGGGCTGCCAGCGCACACTGCCAGCTCATGTCCAGCTTTTCATCTGCCACTACCCCCAGGTCCTTCTCCTCAGGGCTGCTCTCTATCCATTCTCCGTCCAGCCTGTACTTGTGCTTGCGATTGCCCCAACCCAGGTGCAGGACCTTGCACTTGGCCTTGTTGAACTCCATGAGGTTGGCAGTGGCCCACCTCTCCAACCTGTCCAGGTCCCTCAGGATGGCAGAGGGATTGCAGATAAGCAATTCCTACAGACCACCTGTGATGTAAAATGATAGTTCTTCAGACCTATGAAATCCTATGTTCTGTGCTGGCAATGACTGATAGGAATTTAGATACTGTATTAGAACTTAATTTTTCCTTCTGGGAAACTGGGGTAATTTAGGAAAAGTATGGCAAGATGTCTTATTTTTTTTTTTCAGAAATTTGTCAAAGAAACAACTAAGGAGAAATATTTCCAAAGATAAAAATTTAAAATAAAAGCTCAGAACAATACTCTTTTCCCAAATCATTGACCAGACAGCTCTGTCTGATCCTTTTACTGAACGCATTGTTTTTATTTTCCTGAACAGAACAGCAAAGTGTGAAAAGAGTCAATCTTACTGTATGTTCTCATGACCAACAGATCAGTTTGTTCAGTGTAAAAATAAAAGCCCCCAACTTTCTAGAAAGAGAACAGGACTACGAGTGACTATTTTATCTACTACTGGTCCTGTAGGGAACTATATCATGCAGTCTTCTTCACAGAAATATTAAATTTCTTCTTTTCTGACTGGAAAACATGGTAGACTTGAAGAACTGTCACTGTTCTGTTGTAACTACCCATCTGGTTCCCAATCTAATTTTATCAATGTCCATTTTCCATCTTTTCTTTCTCATATCATGTTGTCCTTTAGTTAAATAGTGCTTCTTCCTTGGTAATAAGCCGCAGTGTACCATGAGGAATATATTTTTAATCAGCCTTTGTTCTGTTAGGGTAAATTCTGTTAGGATAAACAAGCTTGGTTTTTTTATTATTTAGTGTAAGATCTGTTACGTAATTGTCTTAGTAAGTTATCTGTACCTCTTCACTGCAAATTAATCTCCTAGAATGTGGGTAAAATCTGCACACAGTATTGCAGATGGCCTTATATAGTGCAGCTGATTCCTCCCAAGTCTTACTAGAAACATCTCTGTTGATATTCTAGGATTTTATTTATATTGCTCAGTTTCCTTTAATCTGGAGTCTGGTCTTTGGATCTTCGTGACTGGTAGGGTCCTGACCTTGAAGTAAAAGATAGGATTTTGTACTTTATTTTCCATCCCAATGGTATTACTCAGGAAGGTCTAGGGTTTTTTCTGTGTAATATTCTGATTCTTTGTATTGGCATTTCTCCATGTTATCATTAAATTTTATCAGCATATTCCTACTTTTGCGTCAGAGTAGTTAATAAGATGACCAAAAGATCACTTATAAGTCTCCTTTTTGAATTTATGAATTACTTTTTCATCCAAGTCATTGTCATTTTCTTTTCAATCTGTACTGAAATTCTAATGTAATAACCTTCTCTGATTTAATATTGTATGAAGCATTGTAGCATAAGCTTTGTAGAAGTGCAGATGGACTAAACCTGTTAAATATTATGATTCATAATATCAGTATTTTGTTAAATACAGTCTTTTATCTTTGATATTCAGAAGCTTATTAATACTTCTAAGCCACTCAGGACAGATTTACGGGAATATACAGGCTTTCCAAGGTTTTACTTTTAGGCCTTTCATTGCCTAATAGAATCTAAAGCCATGACTAGAATACTTTAAATCACAAGACTATCTGCATGACATTAAATATCCTGAGAGAGCAGAACTGTATACATGACTCTGTACCCCAGCTGTTAGAACATTTACCTGGTAGACACAACCTGATTCCAAACCTGATCCCATATTTTATAGAACGGCATATATAGAGTATATAGTGATGTCCAAGGCAGCGATGTATTCAGTGACAGTTGTATTTGCATCTGAATATTATTCATGCAAAATAGAAGAATTTCTATAGACAGATGAGAAAATAATTTTGGCTGGTTATTACAGGATTCACTGGGAAAGTGAATTTTATAAACCCTGTAGTGCCATCAGTCAGAGGAGGAAAATGAATCCATCCCACTACTCTTCTTGTGTACATTTTATGTGGGTTCTACAGTGGTGAATGTATGAGAAAACCTACCAAGCTGGACTTTGCAAGCTGGATAGGCAAAGGAATGCCTCAGATATATGTATCAGTGAGATTTAGGTGCTAAGTTGTCAGATGTAATCTAGTTATGATTGACCTAAGAATGTCTTGAAGCGCCACAAAACACTTCTTTTGGCAAAACAAAACAAAAACAAAAACCCAACTGTTAATTTCTCTTTCATTAGGTGGCAGCTGAGTAAGGGTTTTGAAGATTTTGGACTTTGGGTATGTTCACATTGCAAATTATTTTTGCAGCAGTAACTTTCAAATATGTGGGCTGAAAATGTTATAGCAAAGCAATGAAGTCAAACACAGCATGCCTCCAAACCACTCACTCTCTTCACGAGTACCTTTTTCATTGGCGTTACCCAGGCTCTCATAGCCTTTTGGGGAGAGAAGGTGGGCATTAGCCAAGACCACCGCCTCTTTGGTGCTCACTGACGCAGTGCAATGAGAGAGCAAGAGCAAAATAAATCCTGCAAAAAAACTGAACTCATCAACAGCATCTTCCTTCTGAGTCAGTCCTCCTGCAGCAGTACAGAGCTGTACCAGGCTGGAATTGAAAATGGAAAGATGTACGACTTAGTGTGAAACTCCTGAAGGAGAAAGGTATTGAAACACAGCTTCAAGATAGTGAGCCTCTGCCAAAATGGGCTTCTCCCATCTTTCAAGAACATCTCTTTTTCCTGCTGTCACACACCCTGCAGCAACACTTAAAACGTGTCTCACCTCTCTCACCTTGTGGCAGGCTGGGCAATGAAAAACGCTGTAGTTTTGTGTGTCACGAATATAGAAAATTCTGTAATTAGGTATTGAAACACAGCTTCAAGATAGTGAGCCTCTGCCAAAATGGGCTTCTCCCATCTTTCAAGAACATCTCTTTTTCCTGCTGTCACACACCCTGCAGCAACACTTAAAACGTGTCTCACCTCTCTCACCTTGTGGCAGGCTGGGCAATGAAAAACGCTGTAGTTTTGTGTGTCACGAATATAGAAAATTCTGTAATTACAAAAGTAAAAGCACATCTCATATTTATCAGAACTGAATTTAGTTTATTCCCAGAGTCCAAACTGTA